AATTACCAGTGAACACAAGCCCTCCGACAAAAGCAGAAGTAAAGTCCTGAACGCCATAAAGTCGCTGAAATCCGAGAAAGCAGCCGGACCAGATGGAATTCCACCAGAAGAAGTGAAAACAGACGCAGAGACAACAGCGGACATGCTCCTCACACCACTACTGGAGAAGGTTTGGAAGGAAGGAAGGAAGGAAGGAAGGAAGGAAGGAAGGAAGGAACGGTACCTGCCAACTGATTGGAAGAAGGACTACCTTGTCAAACTCCCAAAGAATGGAGACCTAAGTGTTTGCAAGAACTGGCACGGAATCATGCCCCACTCCTGTCCACTCCAAGGAAAAAATATTAGGCCACATCATCCTGGAGAGACTAAACAATGCAATGGATTCAAAATTACGACCGGAACAGGCCGGCTGGTTGGCTTCAGGAAGAACATCGTGTGCGGAACAAATTGCAGCGCATCATGATGGAACGGAGTATAGAATGGCAGTCAACTCAACTCAACCTCAACTTCATCGACTTTGAAAAGGCCTTCGACAGCGTCGACCGACAAGTAATTTGGCAGGCAGCTGCTTCAACACTACGGTTTTAGTGCCACAAACCTTTATCAACCTCATTCAACAGCAGCTACACGCTATATGATGCCACATTCCAAGTGATTCACAATGGAAAGCTCAGTGATGGCTTTGAAGTGAGGATAGGGGACAGGAGTAGGACATGGGTGCCGCCTACTATCATCACCGATGATCTTCCTGATTGTGGTCGACTGGACCAGATCATGCAACAAATTGTGACAAGCGAGAAGATGGTCATGCCCCGGCTGGACCGATGAAAAGACCCTAGCAGGAGATTTGGATTTCGCCAATGATCATCTATGTCTAATGTCTTGTCTCACAAACTCGAATATCTACAAGCGAAAACCAACAAGCTGACAGAAGAGGCGAGGCAGCGAAGACGGGACTTCAAGTGAATGTGGAGAAGACAGAAGCGATGAGGATACCTAACCACCACCACCGCCACCACCAACAACAAGGATCAATCACCATCAACGGGAGACACCTAGAGGGAGTAGTCTCTTTCACCTGTCTAGCCAAAGCATCATCGTCTCAACTAGGGGTGGCGGCACAGGTGGAGATGTCAAAGCCAGGATCGGAAAGATCGGAAAATCGCTCGTCTCTCAGCTTTTGGATTTTTCCACAATGAAAAACTCCCACTTTCAATACTCAATCTAAAAACATAGAACGTTAGCAGCACTTCTGTCCGTCCACGCACCTCACTTCTGCGCATTCGTCAGCTTACTCCTCAACAGTTGAAAATTGGCATTATTATTCCTTTGAACCAACCGGTCTACCTCCTGTCAGTGGTTCTTGGGCGTTTCAGCTGCCAAACTGCCTTAGCTCTCGGTTCTCCTCGGAGGTCATTCCCCAGGAAATATCTTCCCTGGTTATACATACGCATCTGGAGCTTACGGTTAAACTCGTTGGTCAAGAGCAGAGGATCAAGTGACAAGTGTCTGAAGGTGAGCCAACATAAATTATCTTCCCTTTTCTATTCTGTCCTTTTCCTGCATTCAGTCTTCAACCCTCTTATTGTTGTTAACTACTTGTTTTCCCAAGAAGTTTATATCATAGCGACATGTCTGCCCAAAACGCTAGGTCTGAAGCTTTGACACGGATAACGCGGTCGTGCACAAAAACGGCCAATAACACCCTAGACAACACACTAGTCTGTACTAGAATACAAACAGAGGTAGGGCAGAACACCGAACTTCTAAAGAAGTGGCCAACCCATGTTTCTAGAATTCCAGTAGCCATCAGACAGGTGACACAGAGAAGCACTAGCCCGTCACAAACTAGTCCTATCTTGAGCAAGGATCATACCATGCCTGAACATAGAAGACGACGTAAAAGGCTTCAGAACAAGGCAGCCACAAGCAGTTCGCCACAATCCGTAGCACCTTATTCATGGAAGGAAGGCTGTATTACGACACCCGATGGCTGCAGTGTTTGCACCAAAGTTGTTTCGGTAGTCGATGAGGCATTTGCATGCAACCTATGTCAACGATGGGTGCATTGCCACTGCGATACCAAAGTCCCCCGACAATACTATAAGCTGATGAAGAGACAACCATGCAAGTGGTTCTGGTACATCTGTCCAGAGTGCAGGAAAATGCCCGCACTCCGCACAGAAAGCCTGAAGGAGATGCTCTCCGCCACGCAAAAGCTACCAGCATCTTCGAATAAGGTAGGGTTAACACCAAAGGATAACACAGAGAGACCTGGAAACAGACCTAGAGCTCCAGCTGTGGGCACGCCATCTCGCGTGGGGACCATATTAGGTCAAGTCTCCATACCCCCACCCGGCCCCAGGGGACGTCAAGCGCATGGCCAAAGACATCGACCGCCGAAGCCTCTACGAAACCCATTCCGAACACCCCACACACCGTGACTGAGAAACAACCAGTGGAATTACTCAAACCCATTGGTAAGTCGGGCGTGCCACCCACAACGAACCCAGGTCACAGGAGGACCAACTCGATCATTTTGTTCAACGTCGATGTATCGACAGACTCATTGTTGGTCGAGAGGGAACAATTTGACAGCCGAATGTGGACCGACTACTGTCAGATGCTGGGACTCCCTCCCCTCCCTGCAACTTTGTGTCGCCTTTCTCGAGGAAGCCATGCACCCCGAGATAAGCCACCCCCTTTACGTGTGTCCCTAAATACCGCCAAAGAGGCTGAAGACACACTCCTCCTCTCGCGACAACCGGACGTTGTTAATGCCTGTAAAATTCGGGCCAGGCCTGACAAGCCATGGTCAGTAAGAGAGGAGGAGAGAAAGTCAGCGGTTGGAAATCCCAACAGAAACAACACTATAGTTGTACATGGGATTCCAGAATTGCCAAGTGACAGCTCGGTCAAAGATCGGTACTTTCACGACGTCCAACAATGGCAATGGCTCTCAACCAAAGTTGGTCTCAACAGTATACCGGCCAACAGCGTCAGTAGACTGCCAAGGCCAGCGCACCTGAAGACCATACCCAATCCCAGACTACTTGCCGTCCAGTTCGACTCATATGCCTCCCTCACAGACGTTCTGCACGCATGGTATAATGCGAAAGATCGCATGGGTGGCTCAATACGTATATGTGAAAGTAAGCCTAGACCCACAAGGCAAGAGGAGAGACGGCAACCACCAAGACCTCTGGAGTCAGTGGTCGTCACACAGGCGCTGACCAGTGAGTTAGATACATCAAGTAAAGAAGCCACCACTGCTACAGCCCCCACCCAAGTTAAGAACAAAACACAAAAAAACGGAACAATGCCAGTCCTATGAGGACTGGCGAGGCTAGACCCAACCACGTAAGCGGTCATCCTGCGAAAATACACATCCAGACCTCCCCTCTCATCAGGTACACTCTAATATGTATGTACAGCAACGTTAGGGGGCTAATAGGGAAGGTAGCAAAAATGAGGACGCTGCGTGAACATCAGCACTCCGACATCATATTCATCACCGAATCCTGGCTCTCATCGGACATCTCCGACGAAGAGATGCGTGTTGCTGGCATGGAACTCTTCCGCAGGGACAGGGAACATAGAGCAGGAGGGGGAGTGGCTATCTACGCAAACTCCTGTTTCAAGGCAAGGATGGTTAGCGATACGGCCTTAACCCAGCTCCCAGAGTCTCTATGGTGCTACTTCACTCTCTTCTTTATTCTCTCTTCATTCCTTTACCACTACCTTACTATTCTCTTCCAGGTACCTACACAGACAGGAGTCATGGCAGTTCTCTAAACTTCCCAGCAACCCGTAGCTCCCTAATCACTCTACAAATTACAACCTACTAACCCACAAAACATCCACCTCACCGAAGCTAAAAGCAAGAAAGCAGAGGGGATTTCCTCGTCCACTGCAGGAGTAAACCGAACAACTGGAACCAAGCCCTAAGAACTAGACGCGAGAGATCAAAAACTACTAGTTTTCTACGCTCGCACTATCAATATTGGATATCGGAAGACAGACCTTCACTGATCTGAAATCAGTGTGGAGACCTACTGTACTCCACTCAGCATAAAGCGTAAACAAGATCCGTATTTTCAAGACTAATGTCAAGTAAGCCAGTGCTTCTACATGGTTCAGAAACTTGGCACGTTACGAAAAGCATATCCAATAAACTACAGACATTCGTCAACAACTGCCGCCTATCCTCACTCGATACTGACACTGAAGATCAGATGTCCAGAATAGTAAGAATAAGCAACAAGGAACTCCGGCTGTCTGCGAACGAACCAACCAAGAACGTATCACCCAGCAAATATGCGGTAGAGGAAAGTGCAGATGGATTGGGCATACACTGAGAAGGCTGATTGGGGACATCACGCACCAGGCCAGGCCGTCGAGTGGAATTCAAATGGGAAACGAGGAGTTGGGCGTCCCAGCTGAGGGTGACATGGAGGAGATCATGTGAGGAAGAAATGAAAGGTTGTGGGGAGTGGTGGAGCCAGGTTCAAAAGACTGCAGAAAACCGTGCAATGGAGGCCTGCTACTGAGGCTTGGTTTCCCATTAGGAACCCAAGAGACAAACATAAAAATAAAACGTAATTTTTCCGGTGTAATCTGATTTTAGTCATATCTGAACTCCGTTCAGAATGAGTGACCAACTTTTGTCCACGTTACAATTCATTGGAATTGCGTTTTCATGTCTCTCGTGCCGGTTGTTGAGACTAATGAATTGTGTCATGCCTTCTGTAATATTTATGGTTTTTCCAGATCAAATAAAGACAGGATAAAGGAAGAATATAGTTATATTATTTATGATAGACTAGGGTATTTAGGGAACTGAAAGCTTTGTTTAGCCTTTTGGGAATTGCAGTAATAATTATAAACACTTTTTGATATTCGACCTTGGATACTCTGTAATGGACTATTCATCTTCTATGAAGGCTTTGATCCCTTTCTGACCCCTAAAACGTTGATAGATGCCCATGAATTTCAAACTTTTATACAATAGTTAAAAATGGAGTACTTAAATCAACCAGTCTCAGCTTCACAAATGAATTATTAGTTTTCTCTAGTCGTATCATATTGATCTTTTGGTTTAGTAGTTGGAAATTTTGTTCAATATAATAATGTAACATAGATTTGCGTGATATAATTCTTTGAGTTTTCATTTCTAAAATATTTTGAGCAAATTGAAACCATTGTTATACCCTATATGGTGTTGGGTTTTTACACACGGGTCAACTACTACCTCCTCATCAGCGAACGTCTGGAAAGGTGTATCTAGCGTTATTCCTTATTGTACATCAGTGCATACACCTGTTAAATCCGAGTTCAAGGTAAATAAGCATTGCTGACCAGTGCCAAATAGGAAGAAACACGCACCAGGCTGGATTCAACTTCCAGTTACTAAAATCACAACTATGAATACCTAGCAGTATTCGAAGCATCGGTATAGGAGGCCATCTGCCAACAAAATTTGAGCAACTCGACCCTGCATAGCAATGGGGAATTGCAAGCATCAACCGACAAGAAATGATACCCATCGAACAACAGGTGGCTATCGTACCCCAGTGGATAACGCTTTGGCGTTTGAAGCGACGAGACTTAGGTTTGAGTCCCAGTGGGAACAACATCAATCACTGGGGTGCAGGTACATACAGCTAACGAGTGCCAAATAGGATTCCACTGCTAGTCACCAAGATAAGCACTGCATGTATGATCTGACAGTGTGTGATTATCAGGAATATATAGCTCAGATAAGTATTACGCAACAACAACAGAAGACATACCATTCCCATAGGCCCAACCATCTGTTAATCGATGTCTAACTTTCTGATAAATAGCTGACATAATTGACATATTATTTTTACGCCATTGTCGCCCAAAGTAACGACTTTGTAATTCCAATAATTTCAATACGTACAATTGAAGCATTGCATGTCTGACGCGTAATGTACGTTTAAGTATGGGAGCTGATTTGAAGACAACTAGAAGCTAGAAAGTAAAAATAATCATAATGAAAATTGTGATATATATGTACACAACCTTTCTTTCAGTTTAGAGAATTGTGAATGTCAATACTAATAATTTTGCAGGCTAGCAGAACAATATCTGGAGGTTTGTGTGAGGTTATTTTTGGGTTTCAGGTTGATATTCACCATAGACTAATACCAGTTAGAAAAACAATGTAAACCTGGGAGAACTGGTCAGCTGTTTCGTCCTAGTATGTGACTCCTCAGCTGTTGCTGTTCCTCTTGAAACGAGTTTTCAGCTATTCATCAGTTATGAAGTTGGCATGATTTGAGATGACATTTATAAGTCAGCTTTTCTATTCCATCCTATAATACTAGGGGGGAAACAACGGTTGTACGGGAATAACACGTAAGGTGGGTAAAGTAAAATGGCATATTGCGAGAAGTTAGTTCGAAATATACCCAGTTCAGTAAAATTTTATAATTAGATTAACACAGCGTAGATTCTAGTATTCTTGGTCCTATTCGTGTAAACGTGTGGGTCTGATTTAATCCTCAAGTGACACTGGGTTAAACGAAGGCTTAGAGTGGTCAGATCAAAACGCAACACCAGTCGACAAAGTCTATGACCGTTATTTTGAGTCATATAGGGAGGTGTGTTCTCGGTTACGGTCGTTGAAAAAGTAAGAATCAAATGTTGGGGAGTATAGCTAAAAAATTGGTCACAACTTCTGGAAAGTCTTCACTCTTCTAAAATCCGAACATTTCACTACCTTCGATTTTCGAATTCCTTCTCCTCCTGTGCACCTCTGCCTACTTTGACATCAGTCTTTTTCTACCAAATTATTGTTTGCATGCTTTCGTGAAGTGTGGCCAGTATTGACTAATGCACATATATGCGAGGTTCTAACTTGATTTTGTCCGTATAGGTATCTTTTTGAGTTGAACAGATACCACAGACCGGTTGGTACACCATTCATCCACAGTCCAACAGTCATTATCATAGAACTCCAAAGCTGTTCAAATATTTTTTCTGACTTATGATGATAATGTCACATAGGTAACCAGTTCACCAGTTACTGGCTGGTCTTAAGACCGGATAAAGAAGGAAGGTTGGATTGGTGAATTGGTAATTGCAGTTGGACTTGTTAACAAATGTTTTGCAGCTCATGATAACTATAAGAGCTTCATGAATACTATTTTATGTTACTTGCATTATGGAACATATTAAATCTTTTTTTGTTTGGTTTAAAAATCTACATACATTTATCCGATATACTTTCTTCCCTTGTTTGTCACTGATGCTAATTAGTCGAATGCCCAGTCGAATGTCGACCTGTTAAATGTGTTGCACGTATGTGTATTGAATTTCTGAGTACAGCTGGTTTTAGTGAATTGCGAAGTCGTTGTGTGGGCTTACTAATGAGCACTACAACTGAAGTGAGTAAATTTTCCTGTTGTTTACTGTTTTCAGATCTATTTGCTGTGTATTCCTGTATACACAGCAGGTAACAATGGACTCTAGGGTGTATATCTTCTTTTTCAGACCCTCTCTCTGTGCACCGCAGTAAGTGTCGATGCTTTTCCTGAGACTCGAAGACGACAACTATCCGATTAGATATCAGAGTACTACTACTATCCACTAAACTAATAAGTTGCAGTAGCCAATTATTGTCCATTGGGTGTAGCAATAATTAGCATTTGAAATTATCCGTTGTTGGTTTTCAGAGCCGAATCAGTCGGACACTTATTCGACATCTACTAAAAGGTCAGTATTCGAATCATTAGTAAAAACATATATTTTTAAACCTATAAGGTGTGACCCATCTAGATTTATACTTTTCTTGTAATCTATCTTCGTCCTTCCTCATTCCACTGATTTCGAGGAGAATTTATCTTTTGTATGTAGTGAGGTAGGCAAAACTGGCTCAGCACCCACATTCGCTTTTCCTTAATTCCTGCCTTTTGCTATGCTTATGGTTTAATATATTTGAAAATATTGCAGAAGGAGTGAAGTTTACTGTATCATATGCTAAGGATTCTGATCTGTAAATGAAACTACGATTTAGAACAAGGTAAGTATATTACTGAAGGACTTAGTAACTTTATTGAATTGACGCTACATCGATGTGGATTATACTTCATGACATGTTATCTGTCGTGTACCAATCGAATGCCGTATGACTGGCTCATAGTCTAGTACACACTTTTTTCCTGTTGAACTACAACAGATGAAGGAACGGTCCTCTTGATTTCCAAGTATATCTTCAACCTAAAGAATGCTACTGAAGCACTTGCGAAGCATGAAACCAGACGGTAATACTCAGAAACATGTGTAGTTTTCCCAATATTCTCACAAATGGAACGGAATCCCTGTAATTTTCAGACATTATTTGACATTTAAAGGCTGGTTAGGATTAATGCTGATGTCTGAGAATTCCTCAAAGGCACGATTGCAAATCATACTCCCAGTAGTTTTCGTTACACCGTTTAGCATTTTTCAACAGCAACCAGGTGGTTTTATTTCCTTTGAGTAATTATTCCTGCGATTTTCTTACACTTGTTGTATACAGGTACTAAGTGCCATCTGGATTACGTAAATCTTGGTGGTTCTCGGGGTGTCATCAGAGTCTCTGACCCATAGGATGAATGATGAGTTGCTAGACGGTTTAGTCATCGCTTTGCAATTTGAATAGATTATGTCTCTTATTACAAACACTTTGACGAGAAAAAGCCTCAGGCAGACGGATAGTAGCAGCGTAGAAACGAACAGAATTGGATCGGTTCAAGTTGTCACACTTCAGCAGCATTCAAGCAAGAACGGGTTAGAAGAAGTGAGGTAGAAGAAATTTGAAAACGAAGGTTAATTGAAAATATTCTAACCTTAGAAGTAAATACGTCTACGCCATTGTCGCCGACGCAATGTCAACAAAAGTCCGCTTCAACCAATGATACCTATCGTCTCGAGGACTTCAACCAGGTGATTCACAACTTCCTGAATGGTTGTGGTCGACAGTCAGGGACTTCATTGACTGGAGTTATGTCTTGACCTGGTCACCCCAAGCCCTATTCCAACCCAATCGAACTTCCAGCATTGCATGTCGACATAGACAGTGACTTGGCATGTTCAGTACATGTCCTACCTTAGTCCCTGAAGGTTCAAAACCTCATCGATTGAATTGCCCAACCGGAATATATATATATATATATAATTCAGATTGTAACAAAAAATGTTTCATGAAATATTTTTGAACAGAGTTCAGGTATGATTAAAAATTAGATTACAATAGAAAAGTTGCGTAATGTTTGAAATAGTTATGGGGAGAAATTCTCATGAAATATTTTGGAACGGAGTTCAGATATGATTAAAAATCAGGTTACAAGAGGAATTACGTATTAATTAAGATGGTAATGAGAAGACGACTTACCGAGATCGGACCGATATTTGATCACTAAGTTAAATGATGTAACATGGTGAATGCAAAAAGAAATCAGAATTATAGTGGTGGAGGTATTTAATGTGTGAGAGGATCTGAATGAAGAGGTTCTTGAAGGTAGACATGGTTCTACAATGGGTAAAGGAGAACAGTTCACGGCTCTATTCACGAATATTTGACCGATTATGACCACCGCGTAGGAGCAGTAGCTATCATGATGTCCTCAACAGCAGCAAAGGCTCTCTCTGATGCAGTGGGAACCAATCTCCTCCTCTACGATCATGATCACGACAGCAAGATTCAAATCAAAAGGAAGGAAAGTCACAATCACACAATGCTACGCTATGCAACTATGAATAATGCAGATGAAGAGAAGAAGGAGGGATTCTACAGACAACTGCAATCAGTACTGGACAAGATGCCACCCTAGATGGCGACATCAAAATTCATTCTAATGTGTGGGTTGACATGAATGCCGAACTGGGAGCGGACAAGACAGGAAGAGAACTGATTATGGGTCGAGAAGCACACGGTGAACTGATGAATGAGAATGGAGAATTGTTTGCAGACTTCTGCGCATTCAAAAGTATTACAGAATTACCAGTGAACACAAGCCCTCCGACAAAAGCAGAAGTAAAGTCCTGAACGCCATAAAGTCGCTGAAATCCGAGAAAGCAGCCGGACCAGATGGAATTCCACCAGAAGAAGTGAAAACAGACGCAGAGACAACAGCGGACATGCTCCTCACACCACTACTGGAGAAGGTTTGGAAGGAAGGAAGGAAGGAAGGAAGGAAGGAAGAAGGAAGGAAGGAAGGAAGGAAGGAAGGAAGGAAGGAAGGAACGGTACCTGCCAACTGATTGGAAGAAGGACTACCTTGTCAAACTCCCAAAGAATGGAGACCTAAGTGTTTGCAAGAACTGGCACGGAATCATGCCCCACTCCTGTCCACTCCAAGGAAAAAATATTAGGCCACATCATCCTGGAGAGACTAAACAATGCAATGGATTCAAAATTACGACCGGAACAGGCCGGCTGGTTGGCTTCAGGAAGAACATCGTGTGCGGAACAAATTGCAGCGCATCATGATGGAACGGAGTATAGAATGGCAGTCAACTCAACTCAACCTCAACTTCATCGACTTTGAAAAGGCCTTCGACAGCGTCGACCGACAAGTAATTTGGCAGGCAGCTGCTTCAACACTACGGTTTTAGTGCCACAAACCTTTATCAACCTCATTCAACAGCAGCTACACGCTATATGATGCCACATTCCAAGTGATTCACAATGGAAAGCTCAGTGATGGCTTTGAAGTGAGGATAGGGGACAGGAGTAGGACATGGGTGCCGCCTACTATCATCACCGATGATCTTCCTGATTGTGGTCGACTGGACCAGATCATGCAACAAATTGTGACAAGCGAGAAGATGGTCATGCCCCGGCTGGACCGATGAAAAGACCCTAGCAGGAGATTTGGATTTCGCCAATGATCATCTATGTCTAATGTCTTGTCTCACAAACTCGAATATCTACAAGCGAAAACCAACAAGCTGACAGAAGAGGCGAGGCAGCGAAGACGGGACTTCAAGTGAATGTAGAGAAGACAGAAGCGATGAGGATACCTAACCACCACCACCGCCACCACCAACAACAAGGATCAATCACCATCAACGGGAGACACCTAGAGGGAGTAGTCTCTTTCACCTGTCTAGCCAAAGCATCATCGTCTCAACTAGGGGTGGCGGCACAGGTGAAGATGTCAAAGCCAGGATCGGAAAGACAGCAAGACAGACCTTCACTGATCTGAAATCAGTGTGGAGACCTACTGTACTCCACTCAGCATAAAGCGTAAACAAGATCCGTATTTTCAAGACTAATGTCAAGTAAGTCAGTGCTTCTACATGGTTCAGAAACTTGGCACGTTACGAAAAGCATATCCAATAAACTACAGACATTCGTCAACAACTGCCGCCTATCCTCACTCGATACTGACACTGAAGATCAGATGTCCAGAATAGTAAGAATAAGCAACAAGGAACTCCGGCTGTCTGCGAACGAACCAACCAAGAACGTATCACCCAGCAAATATGCGGTAGAGGAAAGTGCAGATGGATTGGGCATACACTGAGAAGGCTGATTGGGGACATCACGCACCAGGCCAGGCCGTCGAGTGGAATTCAAATGGGAAACGAGGAGTTGGGCGTCCCAGCTGAGGGTGACATGGAGGAGATCATGTGAGGAAGAAATGAAAGGTTGTGGGGAGTGGTGGAGCCAGGTTCAAAAGACTGCAGAAAACCGTGCAATGGAGGCCTGCTACTGAGGCTTGGTTTCCCATTAGGAACCCAAGAGACAAACATAAAAATAAAACGTAATTTTTCCGGTGTAATCTGATTTTAGTCATATCTGAACTCCGTTCAGAATGAGTGACCAACTTTTGTCCACGTTACAATTCATTGGAATTGCGTTTTCATGTCTCTCGTGCCGGTTGTTGAGACTAATGAATTGTGTCATGCCTTCTGTAATATTTATGGTTTTTCCAGATCAAATAAAGACAGGATAAAGGAAGAATATAGTTATATTATTTATGATAGACTAGGGTATTTAGGGAACTGAAAGCTTTGTTTAGCCTTTTGGGAATTGCAGTAATAATTATAAACACTTTTTGATATTCGACCTTGGATACTCTGTAATGGACTATTCATCTTCTATGAAGGCTTTGATCCCTTTCTGACCCCTAAAACGTTGATAGATGCCCATGAATTTCAAACTTTTATACAATAGTTAAAAATGGAGTACTTAAATCAACCAGTCTCAGCTTCACAAATGAATTATTAGTTTTCTCTAGTCGTATCATATTGATCTTTTGGTTTAGTAGTTGGAAATTTTGTTCAATATAATAATGTAACATAGATTTGCGTGATATAATTCTTTGAGTTTTCATTTCTAAAATATTTTGAGCAAATTGAAACCATTGTTATACCCTATATGGTGTTGGGTTTTTACACACGGGTCAACTACTACCTCCTCATCAGCGAACGTCTGGAAAGGTGTATCTAGCGTTATTCCTTATTGTACATCAGTGCATACACCTGTTAAATCCGAGTTCAAGGTAAATAAGCATTGCTGACCAGTGCCAAATAGGAAGAAACACGCACCAGGCTGGATTCAACTTCCAGTTACTAAAATCACAACTATGAATACCTAGCAGTATTCGAAGCATCGGTATAGGAGGCCATCTGCCAACAAAATTTGAGCAACTCGACCCTGCATAGCAATGGGGAATTGCAAGCATCAACCGACAAGAAATGATACCCATCGAACAACAGGTGGCTATCGTACCCCAGTGGATAACGCTTTGGCGTTTGAAGCGACGAGACTTAGGTTTGAGTCCCAGTGGGAACAACATCAATCACTGGGGTGCAGGTACATACAGCTAACGAGTGCCAAATAGGATTCCACTGCTAGTCACCAAGATAAGCACTGCATGTATGATCTGACAGTGTGTGATTATCAGGAATATATAGCTCAGATAAGTATTACGCAACAACAACAGAAGACATACCATTCCCATAGGCCCAACCATCTGTTAATCGATGTCTAACTTTCTGATAAATAGCTGACATAATTGACATATTATTTTTACGCCATTGTCGCCCAAAGTAACGACTTTGTAATTCCAATAATTTCAATACGTACAATTGAAGCATTGCATGTCTGACGCGTAATGTACGTTTAAGTATGGGAGCTGATTTGAAGACAACTAGAAGCTAGAAAGTAAAAATAATCATAATGAAAATTGTGATATATATGTACACAACCTTTCTTTCAGTTTAGAGAATTGTGAATGTCAATACTAATAATTTTGCAGGCTAGCAGAACAATATCTGGAGGTTTGTGGAGGTTATTTTTGGGTTTCAGGTTGATATTCACCATAGACTAATACCAGTTAGAAAAACAATGTAAACCTGGGAGAACTGGTCAGCTGTTTCGTCCTAGTATGTGACTCCTCAGCTGTTGCTGTTCCTCTTGAAACGAGTTTTCAGCTATTCATCAGTTATGAAGTTGGCATGATTTGAGATGACATTTATAAGTCAGCTTTTCTATTCCATCCTATAATACTAGGGGGGAAACAACGGTTGTACGGGAATAACACGTAAGGTGGGTAAAGTAAAATGGCATATTGCGAGAAGTTAGTTCGAAATATACCCAGTTCAGTAAAATTTTATAATTAGATTAACACAGCGTAGATTCTAGTATTCTTGGTCCTATTCGTGTAAACGTGTGGGTCTGATTTAATCCTCAAGTGACACTGGGTTAAACGAAGGCTTAGAGTGGTCAGATCAAAACGCAACACCAGTCGACAAAGTCTATGACCGTTATTTTGAGTCATATAGGGAGGTGTGTTCTCGGTTACGGTCGTTGAAAAAGTAAGAATCAAATGTTGGGGAGTATAGCTAAAAAATTGGTCACAACTTCTGGAAAGTCTTCACTCTTCTAAAATCCGAACATTTCACTACCTTCGATTTTCGAATTCCTTCTCCTCCTGTGCACCTCTGCCTACTTTGACATCAGTCTTTTTCTACCAAATTATTGTTTGCATGCTTTCGTGAAGTGTGGCCAGTATTGACTAATGCACATATATGCGAGGTTCTAACTTGATTTTGTCCGTATAGGTATCTTTTTGAGTTGAACAGATACCACAGACCGGTTGGTACACCATTCATCCACAGTCCAACAGTCATTATCATAGAACTCCAAAGCTGTTCAAATATTTTTTCTGACTTATGATGATAATGTCACATAGGTAACCAGTTCACCAGTTACTGGCTGGTCTTAAGACCGGATAAAGAAGGAAGGTTGGATTGGTGAATTGGTAATTGCAGTTGGACTTGTTAACAAATGTTTTGCAGCTCATGATAACTATAAGAGCTTCATGAATACTATTTTATGTTACTTGCATTATGGAACATATTAAATCTTTTTTTGTTTGGTTTAAAAATCTACATACATTTATCCGATATACTTTCTTCCCTTGTTTGTTACTGATGCTAATTAGTCGAATGCCCAGTCGAATGTCGACCTGTTAAATGTGTTGCACGTATGTGTATTGAATTTCTGAGTACAGCTGGTTTTAGTGAATTGCGAAGTCGTTGTGTGGGCTTACTAATGAGCACTACAACTGAAGTGAGTAAATTTTCCTGTTGTTTACTGTTTTCAGATCTATTTGCTGTGTATTCCTGTATACACAGCAGGTAACAATGGACTCTAGGGTGTATATCTTCTTTTTCAGACCCTCTCTCTGTGCACCGCAGTAAGTGTCGATGCTTTTCCTGAGACTCGAAGACGACAACTATCCGATTAGATATCAGAGTACTACTACTATCCACTAAACTAATAAGTTGCAGTAGCCAATTATTGTCCATTGGGTGTAGCAATAATTAGCATTTGAAATTATCCGTTGTTGGTTTTCAGAGCCGAATCAGTCGGACACTTATTCGACATCTACTAAAAGGTCAGTATTCGAATCATTAGTAAAAACATATATTTTTAAACCTATAAGGTGTGACCCATCTAGATTTATACTTTTCTTGTAATCTATCTTCGTCCTTCCTCATTCCACTGATTTCGAGGAGAATTTATCTTTTGTATGTAGTGAGGTAGGCAAAACTGGCTCAGCACCCACATTCGCTTTTCCTTAATTCCTGCCTTTTGCTATGCTTATGGTTTAATATATTTGAAAATATTGCAGAAGGAGTGAAGTTTACTGTATCATATGCTAAGGATTCTGATCTGTAAATGAAACTACGATTTAGAACAAGGTAAGTATATTACTGAAGGACTTAGTAACTTTATTGAATTGACGCTACATCGATGTGGATTATACTTCATGACATGTTATCTGTCGTGTACCAATCGAATGCCGTATGACTGGCTCATAGTCTAGTACACACTTTTTTCCTGTTGAACTACAACAGATGAAGGAACGGTCCTCTTGATTTCCAAGTATATCTTCAACCTAAAGAATGCTACTGAAGCACTTGCGAAGCATGAAACCAGACGGTAATACTCAGAAACATGTGTAGTTTTCCCAATATTCTCACAAATGGAACGGAATCCCTGTAATTTTCAGACATTATTTGACATTTAAAGGCTGGTTAGGATTAATGCTGATGTCTGAGAATTCCTCAAAGGCACGATTGCAAATCATACTCCCAGTAGTTTTCGTTACACCGTTTAGCATTTTTCAACAGCAACCAGGTGGTTTTATTTCCTTTGAGTAATTATTCCTGCGATTTTCTTACACTTGTTGTATACAGGTACTAAGTGCCATCTGGATTACGTAAATCTTGGTGGTTCTCGGGGTGTCATCAGAGTCTCTGACCCATAGGATGAATGATGAGTTGCTAGACGGTTTAGTCATCGCTTTGCAATTTGAATAGATTATGTCTCTTATTACAAACACTTTGACGAGAAAAAGCCTCAGGCAGACGGATAGTAGCAGCGTAGAAACGAACAGAATTGGATCGGTTCAAGTTGTCACACTTCAGCAGCATTCAAGCAAGAACGGGTTAGAAGAAGTGAGGTAGAAGAAATTTGAAAACGAAGGTTAATTGAAAATATTCTAACCTTAGAAGTAAATACGTCTACGCCATTGTCGCCGACGCAATGTCAACAAAAGTCCGCTTCAACCAATGATACCTATCGTCTCGAGGACTTCAACCAGGTGATTCACAACTTCCTGAATGGTTGTGGTCGACAGTCAGGGACTTCATTGACTGGAGTTATGTCTTGACCTGGTCACCCCAAGCCCTATTCCAACCCAATCGAACTTCCAGCATTGCATGTCGACATAGACAGTGACTTGGCATGTTCAGTACATGTCCTACCTTAGTCCCTGAAGGTTCAAAACCTCATCGATTGAATTGCCCAACCGGAATATATATATATATATATAATTCAGATTGTAACAAAAAATGTTTCATGAAATATTTTTGAACAGAGTTCAGGTATGATTAAAAATTAGATTACAATAGAAAAGTTACGTAATGTTTGAAATAGTTATGGGGAGAAATTCTCATGAAATATTTTGGAACGGAGTTCAGATATGATTAAAAATCAGGTTACAAGAGGAATTACGTATTAATTAAGATGGTAATGAGAAGACGACTTACCGAGATCGGACCGATATTTGATCACTAAGTTAAATGATGTAACATGGTGACTGCAAAAAGAAATCAGAATTATAGTGGTGGAGGTATTTAATGTGTGAGAGGATCTGAATGAAGAGGTTCTTGAAGGTAGACATGGTTCTACAATGGGTAAAGGAGAACAGTTCACGGCTCTATTCACGAATATTTGACCGATTATGACCACCGCGTAGGAGCAGTAGCTATCATGATGTCCTCAACAGCAGCAAAGGCTCTCTCTGATGCAGTGGGAACCAATCTCCTCCTCTACGATCATGATCACGACAGCAAGATTCAAATCAAAAGGAAGGAAAGTCACAATCACACAATGCTACGCTATGCAACTATGAATAATGCAGATGAAGAGAAGAAGGAGGGATTCTACAGACAACTGCAATCAGTACTGGACAAGATGCCACCCTAGATGGCGACATCAAAATTCATTCTAATGTGTGGGTTGACATGAATGCCGAACTGGGAGCGGACAAGACAGGAAGAGAACTGATTATGGGTCGAGAAGCACACGGTGAACTGATGAATGAGAATGGAGAACTGTTTGCAGACTTCTGCGCATTCAACGACTTCGTGAATGGAGGCAGTGTGCACAAACACAAGGATAATCACAAGGCAGCGACATGCACTTCACCAGATGGACACACTACACTAAAAATCAGATCGACTTCATCTGAATGTGAAGAAAGTGGGGACGCAGCCTACTGGACCGAAGATCAGATCAAGAAGGGGAGCAGATGTAGGTTCACACCACTCTCACTATCTAGTGCAAGGAACCTGCCTACCTTCCAAATCAAGTTGAAAGCCTTCATAGAAGCTGGTGGTAAGCCACAGTTGAAGTTCAACACCCAGAACAGAGACTGAACTGAACGACGAGACTTCAGAGGACATCTTTATGTCGGTCATCAGGACAAAATAGGGGACGCTGAGCAACATCCGTGAAGAAACCTGCGTGGAAGAACACTGGAACTCTTTGAAAGCTATGTGGAAGGAAACCTGAATAACCGTGTTATGAAGGAAGAAGAAACATGACAAAGGATGGGATGGATCTCGACGGACATATGGAAGGTGATAGAGGAGGGAGAGGGGGAGGAAGATGGTGAAGCAGAAGATGAACCAGTGCAAGGATGCACAACGAGAAGAGGAACTGAACTCAACCTATAAAACACTACACTGGACAAAGAAGAGAAGAAGAGTGCGCGGAAAGACTGAAGACACTTCCACGAAGCATTGGCAAGTGAAGAGAAATAGGCTGAAGGTAGGAGAGACCTGAAAACACTGCCACCACCTGCAACTCGTCCAGAAATACCCATCTGCAGCCCAGTCACAGAATTACCAGTGAACACAAGCCCTCCGACAAAAGCAGAAGTAAAGTCCTGAACGCCATAAAGTCGCTGAAATCCGAGAAAGCAGCCGGACCAGATGGAATTCCACCAGAAGAAGTGAAAACAGACGCAGAGACAACAGCGGACATGCTCCTCACACCACTACTGGAGAAGGTTTGGAAGGAAGGAAGGGGAAAGGAAGGAAGGAAGGGAAGGGAAGGAAGGAAGGAAGGAACGGTACCTGCCAACTGATTGGAAGAAGGACTACCTTGTCAAACTCCCAAAGAATGGAGACCTAAGTGTTTGCAAGAACTGGCACGGAATCATGCCCCACTCCTGTCCACTCCAAGGAAAAAATATTAGGCCACATCATCCTGGAGAGACTAAACAATGCAATGGATTCAAAATTACGACCGGAACAGGCCGGCTGGTTGGCTTCAGGAAGAACATCGTGTGCGGAACAAATTGCAGCGCATCATGATGGAACGGAGTATAGAATGGCAGTCAACTCAACTCAACCTCAACTTCATCGACTTTGAAAAGGCCTTCGACAGCGTCGACCGACAAGTAATTTGGCAGGCAGCTGCTTCAACACTACGGTTTTAGTGCCACAAACCTTTATCAACCTCATTCAACAGCAGCTACACGCTATATGATGCCACATTCCAAGTGATTCACAATGGAAAGCTCAGTGATGGCTTTGAAGTGAGGATAGGGGACAGGAGTAGGACATGGGTGCCGCCTACTATCATCACCGATGATCTTCCTGATTGTGGTCGACTGGACCAGATCATGCAACAAATTGTGACAAGCGAGAAGATGGTCATGCCCCGGCTGGACCGATGAAAAGACCCTAGCAGGAGATTTGGATTTCGCCAATGATCATCTATGTCTAATGTCTTGTCTCACAAACTCGAATATCTACAAGCGAAAACCAACAAGCTGACAGAAGAGGCGAGGCAGCGAAGACGGGACTTCAAGTGAATGTAGAGAAGACAGAAGCGATGAGGATACCTAACCACCACCACCGCCACCACCAACAACAAGGATCAATCACCATCAACGGGAGACACCTAGAGGGAGTAGTCTCTTTCACCTGTCTAGCCAAAGCATCATCGTCTCAACTAGGGGTGGCGGCACAGGTGAAGATGTCAAAGCCAGGATCGGAAAGACAGCAAGACAGACCTTCACTGATCTGAAATCAGTGTGGAGACCTACTGTACTCCACTCAGCATAAAGCGTAAACAAGATCCGTATTTTCAAGACTAATGTCAAGTAAGTCAGTGCTTCTACATGGTTCAGAAACTTGGCACGTTACGAAAAGCATATCCAATAAACTACAGACATTCGTCAACAACTGCCGCCTATCCTCACTCGATACTGACACTGAAGATCAGATGTCCAGAATAGTAAGAATAAGCAACAAGGAACTCCGGCTGTCTGCGAACGAACCAACCAAGAACGTATCACCCAGCAAATATGCGGTAGAGGAAAGTGCAGATGGATTGGGCATACACTGAGAAGGCTGATTGGGGACATCACGCACCAGGCCAGGCCGTCGAGTGGAATTCAAATGGGAAACGAGGAGTTGGGCGTCCCAGCTGAGGGTGACATGGAGGAGATCATGTGAGGAAGAAATGAAAGGTTGTGGGGAGTGGTGGAGCCAGGTTCAAAAGACTGCAGAAAACCGTGCAATGGAGGCCTGCTACTGAGGCTTGGTTTCCCATTAGGAACCCAAGAGACAAACATAAAAATAAAACGTAATTTTTCCGGTGTAATCTGATTTTAGTCATATCTGAACTCCGTTCAGAATGAGTGACCAACTTTTGTCCACGTTACAATTCATTGGAATTGCGTTTTCATGTCTCTCGTGCCGGTTGTTGAGACTAATGAATTGTGTCATGCCTTCTGTAATATTTATGGTTTTTCCAGATCAAATAAAGACAGGATAAAGGAAGAATATAGTTATATTATTTATGATAGACTAGGGTATTTAGGGAACTGAAAGCTTTGTTTAGCCTTTTGGGAATTGCAGTAATAATTATAAACACTTTTTGATATTCGACCTTGGATACTCTGTAATGGACTATTCATCTTCTATGAAGGCTTTGATCCCTTTCTGACCCCTAAAACGTTGATAGATGCCCATGAATTTCAAACTTTTATACAATAGTTAAAAATGGAGTACTTAAATCAACCAGTCTCAGCTTCACAAATGAATTATTAGTTTTCTCTAGTCGTATCATATTGATCTTTTGGTTTAGTAGTTGGAAATTTTGTTCAATATAATAATGTAACATAGATTTGCGTGATATAATTCTTTGAGTTTTCATTTCTAAAATATTTTGAGCAAATTGAAACCATTGTTATACCCTATATGGTGTTGGGTTTTTACACACGGGTCAACTACTACCTCCTCATCAGCGAACGTCTGGAAAGGTGTATCTAGCGTTATTCCTTATTGTACATCAGTGCATACACCTGTTAAATCCGAGTTCAAGGTAAATAAGCATTGCTGACCAGTGCCAAATAGGAAGAAACACGCACCAGGCTGGATTCAACTTCCAGTTACTAAAATCACAACTATGAATACCTAGCAGTATTCGAAGCATCGGTATAGGAGGCCATCTGCCAACAAAATTTGAGCAACTCGACCCTGCATAGCAATGGGGAATTGCAAGCATCAACCGACAAGAAATGATACCCATCGAACAACAGGTGGCTATCGTACCCCAGTGGATAACGCTTTGGCGTTTGAAGCGACGAGACTTAGGTTTGAGTCCCAGTGGGAACAACATCAATCACTGGGGTGCAGGTACATACAGCTAACGAGTGCCAAATAGGATTCCACTGCTAGTCACCAAGATAAGCACTGCATGTATGATCTGACAGTGTGTGATTATCAGGAATATATAGCTCAGATAAGTATTACGCAACAACAACAGAAGACATACCATTCCCATAGGCCCAACCATCTGTTAATCGATGTCTAACTTTCTGATAAATAGCTGACATAATTGACATATTATTTTTACGCCATTGTCGCCCAAAGTAACGACTTTGTAATTCCAATAATTTCAATACGTACAATTGAAGCATTGCATGTCTGACGCGTAATGTACGTTTAAGTATGGGAGCTGATTTGAAGACAACTAGAAGCTAGAAAGTAAAAATAATCATAATGAAAATTGTGATATATATGTACACAACCTTTCTTTCAGTTTAGAGAATTGTGAATGTCAATACTAATAATTTTGCAGGCTAGCAGAACAATATCTGGAGGTTTGTGGGAGGTTATTTTTGGGTTTCAGGTTGATATTCACCATAGACTAATACCAGTTAGAAAAACAATGTAAACCTGGGAGAACTGGTCAGCTGTTTCGTCCTAGTATGTGACTCCTCAGCTGTTGCTGTTCCTCTTGAAACGAGTTTTCAGCTATTCATCAGTTATGAAGTTGGCATGATTTGAGATGACATTTATAAGTCAGCTTTTCTATTCCATCCTATAATACTAGGGGGGAAACAACGGTTGTACGGGAATAACACGTAAGGTGGGTAAAGTAAAATGGCATATTGCGAGAAGTTAGTTCGAAATATACCCAGTTCAGTAAAATTTTATAATTAGATTAACACAGCGTAGATTCTAGTATTCTTGGTCCTATTCGTGTAAACGTGTGGGTCTGATTTAATCCTCAAGTGACACTGGGTTAAACGAAGGCTTAGAGTGGTCAGATCAAAACGCAACACCAGTCGACAAAGTCTATGACCGTTATTTTGAGTCATATAGGGAGGTGTGTTCTCGGTTACGGTCGTTGAAAAAGTAAGAATCAAATGTTGGGGAGTATAGCTAAAAAATTGGTCACAACTTCTGGAAAGTCTTCACTCTTCTAAAATCCGAACATTTCACTACCTTCGATTTTCGAATTCCTTCTCCTCCTGTGCACCTCTGCCTACTTTGACATCAGTCTTTTTCTACCAAATTATTGTTTGCATGCTTTCGTGAAGTGTGGCCAGTATTGACTAATGCACATATATGCGAGGTTCTAACTTGATTTTGTCCGTATAGGTA